TTAGTTTTTTCATTGTCATTTTCTTTCCACCATTTTACTTCTTTCTTTTTTTTCTTTCCTCCCTTTTGTTATTTCTTATTTATTATTTTTCTTGTTTTTTTTGTTTTTTTTTTTCAATTTTAAAAATCTCTTCTCTTTTCTTTCGTGTCTTCTTTCTTGCATAATAATCCATGGGGACAGTGTAGGTGTGGGTGGGTGGGGGTTTGTTAGGAAATATAAAGAATAAAATATTGCGCAGCGCTTATTATCTTAGAGGATGCGAAAAGGGTGGAGAAATATGTGCTACTAAAAAAATTACTACCAAATTGCTACCAAATTATTTTGGGGGGTGCCAGAAAATTTTGGCAGTGCTACCAAGAAAAAAAATTTAATTTCAAGCCTTGGTTTATCATAGTATATTTTTTTATAATAAAATAATAAATACATATTATAATATTGTAATAGGCATATTTAATATCATCAGTACTTTCAACACCTGTTCACGGTGGCATTGTCAAGCATTCTTAAGCTGACCTGTGCCACATAAATACTCTCTTATCTGGAATACAGTCTTCCATGTGGTTATTGCTTAGCAACCGCATGAGTTACTAAAAGAAGATATTAAAAATAACATACCGGTACATTTGTATTTTGACTATAGAACACAATCTGATTAGGCTTACCAAACTTTTTCTACTAGAGCAGGCCTCAGCATGTGGCATAGGGTCTTGAAATGGAAGGGAGCTGATGGGGGTGGGACGGTAGGAGGAATCGGTGATTAGGTGAGGGGATCAGTGATTATAGGTTAGAGGAGCTAACTCGCAAAATAAGGTAATTTGAGCTACTTGAGCATGATTTGTGGGTGGGGGGGGACACGACTGAGGGTGTGCGAGTATTTTTTATTGGTGGGGGGTGATCTCCGAGCACATCCTAGACGCAGGGTTCCCGGAATGCCGCCCTCAGCGGCGTGTGCGAAGCAACTCGGAGTCAGAAGTGGAACGTGAATTTCGATTTGGTTTCGTAGTCAGATTTTCGAGAAAAACTTCAGCTACCCGTATTTCTCGACTGAGACGTCAAAGGGAGCTGTAATTTGTATGGCAAAGAGATGGTGCTACCCTTAATTTGTGTTAAGCGAATTTACACCCACAAACCTTGTAGTTATTAATATTTTGGTTATAATAGAAAATTTCTATTTTTTGGTGACGTCACACTCACGCTATAGTTAGCATGCATACGTCATAAGCTAGATTACGTCACCTTTTTCTGGTAAAGCAAACTTTCCCGGCGTGCTATTTTCATGGATAAACAAACACCATTGTTTTGCACATGAGTGCCTTGTCTAGCTAGGGCTACAAGAGCCGCATAGTTAGCATATAATACTTAAACAAGGTACGTCTGCAACTGAATTATTCTTAGGCCCTAGTTAATTTTTTTCTTATTTTAATATATTTCTTTCGAAAGTGTACTTTCTATCACATAAAATTGCACTGTCTACTTAGGCCTAGGCCTAGTCATATTATGATTCATCGTCCCCTGCTATACACAGTACATCAGTAGGCTAGCCCCCATCCCCACGCTACAGTACAGACGTTTGCTAGGCAACAGAATGTGATTGCACCTTTCTTACCAGGTGTTCATGTAAATTTGCATAGGCCTATTGTTAGCTAACCAGCTGAGTGTAATTTTCACAAAGCATTTGCATCCCCTCTTGAAAAGAGGGAACTTCGTAATAGTTGTCACCATATCTTCACTCATTAATCACTGTAATTTAGCTTACACTTATGCATGGAGGGAGCACTTAAAATGTACAATAATCATTTCACTACCCGACAAACCCGAACTTTATTCATGCATTACATAAATAGTTTCATCTTGCTGTACTCCAACATCTGGCGCACGGTAACAACCAACTGGCAGACCATTTCCAGTCACACATTACTCTCCATAACGCAACACCCCTTGTTCTGTGTCATCTGGATATGCCAATACCTTGCATACCCTGCAGTTTACCCTATGGTCCGCCACTGACTGTATTGCATTTGGCAGGCTTTGGTGTCATTATTAGATGTACACAAGGAAGCAAGGTTTTCTAGGACCATCTGCAGGATATCTTGCGAAGGATTTGATACTGAAGTAAATCTTCCAATGGTTCAGTCGTTGACATGCCGTGATCTTCCCCTTTACCACCAAACCCGACTTAGATAAAGCTCTGTCAGGTTTAGCAAACCTCATTTTGCACTGAAGCAATCTGTAATCTAACCCATCATCAAAAGAAAGAGCCGCGATTGATAAGCGGTTATCCAGACCCATGTCCAGCTACACGTAGTACACATACTACACATACTACGCCTAGTACATGTACTACGCGTACTACCCATACTACGCATGGTATTATGACACAATTGTACCACTCACGGTAAAATTGTGTGAAAACACCACGTGTTAGCATCATGACCATCGTAAACCAATTAGTTGTATAGCGCCACCAATTTTACTGGTACGTATAACATCTAATATCTACTGAACTGCATCTAACATTATTTATAATTATTTATTTTGGAAATTACACCTTTACATCGATTGAACACATAGGAGTGGTGCATCCATACGAAGGCTGTAATCTATAAAAGGCAAATTGGGGTTTGTGTGTCCGGGATGTTCTCCTTTGTTACTGAGCCGATTTCAACCACATTTTCACTGAAATGTTCACATTGGCACTGGCCAGGTTATAGGCTATGTGGTATTTTCCAAAATCTCAAGGATGCATACGCGTAAACAAAGTAGTTCCAGATAGTCCAAAGGCCTGTTGGTCCGAATTAGTGACCTTTTTTCCATGAATGCAGTTTATACGGCAGTAAAACAATTCCTTTCAATTTATATATGGAGTGAATTAAGAAAGATCACTTTTCAAAAACAATATTCCCAAATATTTTTCAACAACACATAAGGCCAAGTAAAACAAAAAAATACTAGTCTCTTGTCGCCTCCCGCATCTATTTCGCTGCCTCACCATTAAAAAAAATATATTTCCTTGATTTTGCGAAATGTACAAAAATCTGGCTAACTCACATCGGTAAAATTCCCTTCTCGATCGTTATGGATAGTGAGTTGAACAATTTTCAGTAGTATTATGAATTAAAACTCAATGTACTATGATATGAATCATGTCTAGTGCTTCTTTTATTTGCTTTCAATGGTAACTAAATGACGGTAACACAATGACAAGTCAAAATTTGTACTGAAACAGTTCAGTTTAGTGGCAATGAAGTATGTTATTGAATAAATTGTCAAGTATATGTACTCACAAGGATGTTATTTGAGGCTTAAAATTTCCACTGAATAGCTTAATTGTTATGCAAATGATCAGTTTCTTATTTGGCATTTTCTCACAGACAAAGGGCCTGTTACTATTTAGGTCTTTTTTTAGTGTTGTTTATTTGAAATAAATAGATTTTTGCAATTTTGTGACAACACTTTAATTCATTACTGATCATTTGTGATTAGATACTTTCCTGCCAAAGGTCTTTATGCTTGTTCGCACTGGCTAACCAGCATCTCGGCCAGCTTTATTGCTGAGCGAAGTGTGCCCAGATGCATGAAGATTGACCAGGCTATTTTTAACGAGCTAATTCAGTCTGAATAGTATGACTTTTAGTACAATATCTTTGAGCACGTGCTAATACCAAACACATTGCAAAACTATTGAATTTTCCTGTTAGTCTTGGTCAAATTTAATCCAGTGTGATTATGGCTAAAGGTGTATTTATGTCAATTGAGGATGTGTTAAAACCAGGGTTAAAACATAGGTATTCAAGGAACATGAATTTCTAAATATTATTTAGTAGACATTGAAAGTTGTTATAATATCATTAGGAATACTCTTCAACATACTGTATATCAAAAACAAAAAATTTTTCTTGTGATATTCGGGGGGCTCATTTGGATAGTTGTATTTTAGCCAAATATGTTCTGATAAGTTTATAACTGTATATGAGAGAAATGATGATGGGCTATGATTCCTCAAATATGAAGATTTAAAAAACTTCAACTGTTCCTGTTACAGCCACTTCAACAATAGTCCAGTCAAGTTTTCGTCCCATTTTCAGACATTTACTATTTCTAATCGTTACATGGTACAACTTTTCTGATTGTAGATTTGGAATCAACATTGAAAATATGTCCTAACATGGTCCTATAATACAACCTTTCTGGGTTATAGGGGTTGTATTTTCTGACGATATTAGCATATGAAAATCAATTTTCAATTTTGTGGCGCATTATTTTGGGCCACGTCCGCCGCTGAACTTTAAACTGCCTCTACAGAAAAACAAACAAGTATTGAATTCTGAAATTTTTAAGTTTTTCATTTCTCATGAATATAAATATGTCAGAGTGCAAAAAGTGGAAAAAAATGATGTCCCATGGTGTAATGCATTTGTTGAATTGGCATGGAATAACCCTAATCATTTTTTAATAAATTTTAATAAATTTTTATTAAACATTCATGTTTAGTTTGATATCTTATTGTTTGATATTAATTATCAATATCAATTATCTTAAAAATATGTCTTTTAAATCATAAGAAAATATCTAATCAAGTCACATTGAAGTTGCCTATTAATTTTTTGTCATTTAGTTACCGGAGTCTTGTTAATAAAAATCACCATATACAGTATTTATGATAAATCATTTTTTTTCAAAATAAAAGGTATTACATTCATTGTTATACCCTAAGGATTGCTCTTGATACTGTATAAATAAAATTAGGCCTCTAAATTCACAGATTTTTTATTAAATGTACAATAGGTATAAAACGCATGTCGGATTTACGTCATTTAGTTACCGCTCATATTATTATAATTTTTTTTAAATAACGGAATATGGTTTTTAAAAAAAAACTCATTCTGTATATGTAGGAAGCTATTTGTTATGAAAAAAATGTATTTGTTTTAGATTATTGGCAAAATTACCCTGTGGTACATGTGTTTGAAAATACAAATCTGTGTCAGAATGTCATTTAGTTACCGTGGAATTGCCCAATTGTTAACATTATGAGTGTCGCCGTTTTTGTGAAGAGGTATAACTTTAGCATATTTCCAATCATCAGGAAATATACCAGAATGCAGAGATAGGTTAATGATATATGTCAATGAGGGAACAATTATTAGATTTGCAAGTTTTAACATGTTGGGACTGATTTCATCAAAACCAAAAGCTTTGTTGATGGACATTTTTGATATTTCAGTATATACAAATTCTTCATCAACTTCAGGCAAGTAAAAAATAGCTGGAGGATTAATAGTTGGTTTATCTTTTTCAATAGGACTGGCATAAAGTCCCTTTTTTATATCAGAACCTATTGTTATAAAATGTTTATTGAATGCGTTTGCAATATCATAATCAGAACTTAAATCTTTATTATTAACTGTTACATGAGTAGGGTTGCTCTTTTTCTTAGTTGGTAGAACCATGGACCTATTAATAAGAAGGACATACAACGATTTCCAGCTAGCGTGACTAATTAGCCTTCAGCCAATCAGCGATAAGCGGTATTTGGAAACCTCAAAGCGTTTTCTTATCGCAGCCTGCTCTCTCGAGCGCCTTTGAATTAACTCATCTTTTCCGCCTATAGGACACCCTCTATCGGTGAATATCGAACGAGTGGAGCAACAAATTTTACTGACGTCATTAGTTTGGGTCCATTTCCCATACAAAAATTTTCTATAGAATTCTATAAAGAAAATTCTATAGATTTTCTATATAGTATTCTATAGAGTATCTATAGAAAATTTTATAAGTTCTATAGAATATTTCAAACAAATTCTATAGAAAATATATAAAAACATTCTATACAATCTCTAAAGAATTTCTATAAAATTTCTAAAGGATTTCTATACAATTTCTAAAGAAAAGTGGCTTAATTCTCTATAAGAATCTATAGAAATTAACAGTATTTCTATAGAAAATAACAAGTGTTTCTATAGAGAGTAACGCTGTTATAATTTCTTTTCTATAGAAAACTATTATTTTCTATAGAAATTGACAATACTTCTATAGAAAAGAACAGCATTTCTATAGAAATTATTGCAAATATATAATTTTTTCTATAGAAAACTTTGTAAATCTCTATGGAAAATAACAGCAAATCTATAGAAAGTAACGCTGTTATTTCTTTCCTATAGAAAATTATTATTTTCTATAGAAATTCACAATACCTCTATAGAAAAGAACAGCATTTCTATAGAAAGTAACGCTGTTATAATTTCTTTTCTATAGAAAACTATTATTTTAACTATTATTATTATTTTTCTATAGAAATAATGCTGATATATTATATTTTCTATAGGAAAAAAAAAAACAGCATTTCTATAGAAAATAACGCGGATAAAATTAATTTTCATAGAAATTCACAGCACTTCTCTTGAAAATAACGCTGATATAATTTTTTTATATCGTTCGATCACTAAAAAATTGTTTTCACAAATAAAAAAAAATGTGTAAAAATAAAAAATCATAGGCCTACAAGATGATTGTAATGTACAAATGTGTTTTGGTAGTTCATGGCAGGAAACATGAAATGTTTGAACCCACTGTACAGAAATCCCAACAAAATGTATTCATTTTCAAGATCTTTATTTAACACATATTAAACATATATATATAACAGGTCAAACAACCAAACTAAAATAATGTTTGCATTGCATCATCTAAAAGTAGAAAAAAAAACTGGATTCAATATCTTAAAAGAATAAACTGCATTGAATTTTACTAGCATTATGAAGTCACACGATGTAGCACTAGTGGTATTGTGCAAACATATAAAGAGTTATAAAAATAATTTTACAGTATATACTAGCTGTATTTACAGTAAATTGCAGGCCTATATAAAATATTATAAATATATTAAATAACATCAAGGTACTGTAAGCGATATTGATAAGGGTAGATGAAAGAAAAAGTTTTATATATTTTTATATACTATTACATTACAGTATTAGATTTAACTTTACACGAATTTAATAGATGTGAAAGACTCAAAAAAGAAATTCCAAAACATAAGGTGGATAACCCTGCACAGTATGGACCATTCATAATTATCAACAAATGTATAAACAGTATGCTAAGGGGGAAGGGCCTGGTACTAAATACAAAATTAAATGAAAGGAATTTACAAAAGCTTAAAATATTGATTGAAACCGGTTTTCTAAATTTAATAACATGCCAATATGGATTATTTAAACCTAATTATGTATCTATGTACCCATTGAAAAAAGGCCATAGGGAACAGTATTGCAAAATCAACATTTTCCATGAATATACAATTTTTAAAGGGGTTGAGGTGGCAAAAAAGAGTACACTTTTAATACACTATGTTTACAATTGTGATTGGCCCCTATGTAAGTTTAAACTTTAAAGAAAAAATATACTCAGGTACTAAACAGAGAGCTACAAAACAAAATATAGTACTGAAATAATTGCTACTCATATAAATAAGAAATATTGATTTTATGTACATACAATAATATGGCAAGACAAAAATATTTAAACGAATGTTATGTTTTAAGAAAATATGACAAGGGTAGATATAATTATTGATGTGGAAGTAGCATTTCTATTTAATAAAGCCAAGCTCTGAAGGACATAAATCTGTTGATATTTTGTAGAACTAATCTTTCTAAGCCTCAAAGTATATTTGACAAAAAACTTGGAAGCAGTTAATGAGAGAGGTACAGATTTTTGAATATTTAAAAACTGGAGAAAAAGGGTGGTTATGTCTCTTTTCCCCCAGTTTTTAAATATTAAAAAATCTGAATCTCATTAACCGCTTCAAAGTTTTTCATCAAATATTCTTTTTAGGTTTTAAAAAAATCA